GAAAATAAATCAATAAGCAATACAAAAGTAAAAGGCACCCCTATAGTCATTAGATATGATAAATTGTGACACATTAATTAACCTTATCTCAGCTGTAGCAGTGAGTTTAAAAACAGGATAATGAAACTAGTTTAATGAGTAATCTGTCTCTGAAATAATTATTAAATCAAGTGTTTATTTATGTAGGTAAAAGTATGTTAAACAACCTGGTAAAATACACCAGAATGCAGGAAAGGGCATCTATTTCATTCAAAATTTTCTGGGGGAGGACCTCCGGACCCCCCAACAGTGTGTCCCCCACRTTTAAAATGGTTCAGATACCATGTTTATAAAGTAGTCACTGCCTGTATGAGGACATAAGGAAATGACCAAAACACAAAGATCTGCAGAAACTTTCACGTAACAAAAATGATGTAATTTTCCTGACCACCACTGTGTGAGTAGTGGTCCCAGTCTGACCACCCCTGTGTGAGTAGTGGTCCCAGTCTGGTCACCCCTGTGTGAGTAGCGGTCCCAGTCTGGCCACCCCTGTGTGAGTAGTGGTCCCAGTCCGGCCACCCCTGTGTGAGTAGTGGTCCCAGTCTGACCACCCCTGTGTGAGTAGTGGTCCCAGTCCGGCCACCCCTGAGAAAAACATCTGGCTCCACCACTGCTTATGCTGTTGGAAAGCCTTAAACATCTCTTTAAATCAGTGCCATCTTTGTAAGGAACATGCATTTGTGGGCTGAGTGGAGCTGAGTATGTTGGTTTCACAAATACGTACTGTAGTATATTTCCACATCTTCACTGCCAAACACCTGYTTGTGCTGTCCTCTTGTTTTGAGGCTGTGGTTCTTTCAGGTGTTATTTATACGAATTATTGCCAAGAAGCAAATAATCTACCAAACACACATTTTCTTACTTTTTGTGCTGTTTACATTTTTGATTATCAAGTTTTATTAAACGTATTTAGTAAACACTGTAGCTGAAGTGTTAGTGTATCATAAACTTTAAAAAAATCTAAAAAAAGACAAATCTGAAGGTTTTTTTTAGTTTATTTTCAGTCACTAAATATTCTCTACATTCTGTTTAAAACATCCTGAAACTGAAAAGTCATGAAGAAGTGAGACTTTTAGTCAAATGCATTTCCATGTCATGCATGAACTGTAATTGATCCCAAATGAATTTAGACTCCTGAGGTTTGAAAACTTCTCCAGGATGTTTTCTCAGTACACACCTTTGTGATTTTACCCTGTAAAGTGTTTATCTCTGACAATGTGAAGAATTATTTTCTTTTCAATATTCTCATGATGTTAGCAGAGTCTATCATCTGGGATTAATTACCTTGATAAAATACATCTAAAGATGCATGTATCAATATTAGAGAGTGTTCAATACATAGGTATATATTACTGGATTGGGTGTGGCTAACACGCTGCTAGCTACATGGACGTTCTCTCACTGGAGCTCTGTTCTGCACTGAGGAGCTTCAACACAATGAATGGAGGTCAATGGACTGTGAGGTGTCTTCCTGATGAAAAACTCTTATAACTTCATTATTTCTTGCTCCATTTTTACAAACTATGGTTCAAAATAAAGCTGAGGAAATTATGAATTTTATAGTTATGGAAATTTAAAATAGGTAACTAATTTAAATGACTAAAACAGTGGCTTAAACTAAGTATTTAGCGTTTCACAGGTGTTTTTCTCATACAAATCAATGAGTTCTATAACAATAAAAGTTTTTGTTGTAAACTACAATAATTTTAACATCCGTAAAGTCAAACTAAAAAATACAAATTATTTCATGTCACAAAGAATTGTTTAATGAATTTATTTTTATCACAAAGTATTATTGTTCAGTTTCACAATGATGCAGGCTGTATCTGAAGCTGACCCACAGCTGGTACACACGTTTTTCATCCTTTTTTTTTCTGGAAATGTTGAAAAACACAAATACTGGATGTAGAAAATATCTGAATAAACCGACCTGTCTGACAACGTGACTATTTATGTTTATGATGCTCAATCATTACATTAGTGTCTGTCATTAGTGAGTCTACATCATAATTTCTGAATTATTATGCAATCTAACTAGTCAACAATCAATAAAGTCCATATTTACATGTTTAATATCAGTAAATAATATATTTGTCAACAGATAAAATAGATTTTAAATAAGGTTAAACATGAACATTGAAGCTGTTTAATGTTAGCATACAYGATTTACAATTAAAATAATTAATTTTGGTTAAATATGTGTAATATTTACCTGTGAAATATAACTCTTTTATCTCTTGTAAACATGTTGTAACAATTTATGTAGTTTAAAGCAAAGTATTTGAACCATTTGTACGTTTATAAAGAGTTTGTTTGCACTGCGCTACGTTCTGCTCATTYATTTCAYTGGTTAGCGTTAGCATTAGCTCAATGCYWWAAWYTCCCCCRTGCGAAGCCACGCCCAGGTCACATGACGCCCAATCCAGTGATATATATCAATGGTTCAATACAACAATACAAAGTCTGAACATTGTTGTTCAATGGGATTGTGCAAGTGGCAGAAATTAAAATTGCATTCAAGTTGTCAATATTTAGTCTGCAGCATGCCTAAAGCAAGTAAATTATACATTGTATAGACAATGAAAAGGTTGTTGTTTTGTGTCTGTGAGTTTACACACCCTTCACTGGTGTGTGGTGGGTGTACAGACCCTGTTAGCCTTTGTTCTTCAACCTGTCCTGAAGAATTTCTGTCACTAACYTTTGTTTCCTACCYTCAGGTGAAGTACAAGGAGAAGTTTGATAAGGAGATGAAAGGAAAGAAACCACAGTTTGACCTAAAGGAGAGCAAGATTTATAAAACTTTGAAGGATGCTAARGATCTGGCTAGTGAGGTAAGTGTTGTCATTGTCATCAGTACACACCAGGGGCCTCATGTATCAGCAGTTCATATA